GCCCCCGTGCCGCATTCCAAGCGAGCCACGGGCTGCGGTGAGCGGTCCCGCAGCGCTGCGGACACCTCTGCTCGGGACATCGTACGTCCAGCCAGTGAAAAGCTGGAGTTTGCCTCTACAGTCTTAACTTGCCCTGGTAGCTAACAGCGCTGGAATCAAAGAGGCAACACCGAATGCTTAGTGATCTGGGATGAAACGTGGACACGTCGGAAACTGCAGAACAGAACAAAGGGAAACCCCAGCCAAGTTCTATTTGTGCAATTATTTGCCTTCCCCAATCCTTGTTTTGCACAAAATTATGTTGATTATTTGAACAAATCTGAGCTGAGAGGTCCTTCCCCTGCCGTGGTCCTTCTTCGAAACGGGGTACATGTGTTAAATAACTGGTTTTTAGAGGAAATATAGGTAGTTTTTTAGAAGGATCCACACTTGTTTTTTTCCTGAACAACCTCAGATAAACAGAGCAGTCCCTTGAAGAAATCAGTTACTATTTCTGGAACACGGTGCGTTTCACCGTGGTCTCTGAGGTGTCAGTAAGAACGGAGACGTCTCCTGAACAGCCACGACGACGTCGGCTGTGGCTCTGAGTCCGCACGGCTGGCTGCAGGCCTAGCAAGCTGCGGCCCGTGCAGAGCTCGGCGTGCCGGCAGGACCCAAACCGGTCCTCCCACCCGCTGTCTTCTCTGCAGAGACGTGCCCTGCCCTGTCGCAGCCTTGATCCACAGCCCGCACCTCCAAGTAATACGGCTGCAACTCCTCTTCTCTCTCTGAAATGCTTTGACAGGAACGGGGGTGACAGATGCCTTTGCCAATCTGTCAAAACTGGAAGGAATTTTTCAACCATTTCAACTCTGCCTTGTTTGCTGCTTAGGCTCTCTCTGACCATTTCCACCATTCCAAAAGTTTGCTGAATGACATCCCCGCTGCCCTTTGCCGGCAGAAGTTGTTGCCTCATCATTTATGCCTCTCCCCATCTAAGATTTTCCTCACAAGATCTGCAGACAGATTTAATCTTCTCATCTAACCGCCGCAGAAAATAAGAAGTCGTTAGAGAACAAGACTGATTTCTTTCTTAGTTCTAATTCTCTTATTGCTTCTCCTACCCACGTAATCTGGGATTGTCTAAAATCCTGTAGGGAGGATGGGTTCATTGCGTTTGTGATCAGAGAGACTAGAGAAATTTAAAAGTTTTAAAGGAAGAGATTAAAGGCCATGGAAAGAAGCATAAGGCTCCCAATCTGTGGAAGTGCATGTGCAAATGTGCAGAAAATGAATGGGGAGAACAATCTGTGTCCTTACGAAGAGGATGTAGAAAGGCAGAATATTGAATATTACATTGGAAAGAACTGGACAGGCTTTACATTTGGAAGCCAAGTAATTAACTGAGATCGAAATACACAATCAAATGGAAAACAAAGAGTAACGCTCAGGCTGAAGTGTCCTTTTTGCTGTGGGCTTTGGTTTCTTTTGCTGGGGGGGTTGTGACAGCTTTTTTACAACAGACAAACATTTAAACACTTCCACTTTCTAAATGGAATGAAACCTCATCATTATTCAGACAAAAAGTGGAAGGAAGGTTTTAATTGTGTCATCTTCACAACTGCCAGTAGTTTCTTTTGGGGCAAATTTTCAAATAAACTGGCAGATGATTCTAGCACCTCAGGAAAGAAAGAACAGACAGGGTACGGCAGAAATACAAGTGCATTTAAATGTCTTTGCTTTGTTTTACCCATGGCTACAACGGCATGTCCCAGCACAAACTTTGCTGGTGGCTTCTTTTTCCTTGTAGCCGAAGCCAGAACAGGAAGTCAGGTTATGAGAGAATGGCAAGTCAACAACAAATTCCATCTGTTTTTCTACAAGCCCCTTTCCCATTTTTCTTCCTTCAACCTCACTCAGCTGTAGCTAATCCAAAATTTAACTTCCATGGCCAGTCACCACAGCTAACCTGGGTTGGCTATAAATAGTGTAAAGCCAGGCTCGGCTGAATACTCTGGACAACGTGGAAGCAAAGGCGATCATTACCCCAGGTGCTACGTAATCACACCCCCACGACTACCTGCAGCCAAGGTGACTACAGCGCTCTGCACGGGACGCCAGTGCAACTGACTGAGGTGAGAACTTCTACGGTAAATCACACTTCCTCTTCCCTGAAATCCTTCTCTGAGTTAAAATCTATGCCTGAAAGTGTTGTTCTTCCCTCTCTGCCTCCCTTCCCTGCCCTGCCAACAAAGCCAACAGGCATCCCAACAAATCTAAATCTTGACTTTGCAGTAGCTGGACATCACCAGATGACAACCTAGTGGGATAGGCAGGCTGTGACATGAATGCCATGACAAAAATACCTTTAAACATTAAATTTTGAAATTAAATTGCTCTCTGACTTTCTCCCTATTACATCGATTCACTCATTGTCATTGAGCTTCAAGAAAATGGAAAAAATACAGCATGCAGCTAGAAGAGTCCCCAGGCTCAAGAGCATGAATGCAACATCTTTGTCCTTTTCAAATGCCGATACTGACGTTTCACTCAGGCTTTGGGGTTTTCTCTGTATTTTCTCGCATCCCTGAAACCCAGTCTGACTATGCAACTGGCAGGTACTGAGCAATCTGTATGCTGACGAGCACTTTCTGTGAGTAGAATACATATGTATCCAGCATTTGTAGGATGGTTTAAACCTGGGTTTCATAACATGTGAAAGGTAGGGGGACAGCTGCAGTAAGGACTGCAAGAACAAGCTTTTTCTTTGACTCTTCCTATTAAGAAAGGGAAAATCTGGCACAAAACCTGCTGTCCAATTTGAAATTCTAATCTCCTTAGATTGCCATCGTCACAACCACTGGCTAGTCTCCAATTTATTATTCCAGCATCCTTTGGCAGGTTATGTCATCTGGTCCACTTTAACTCTCATTTTTCTGAAGGAAAAATTAGTCTAAAATAAAAAACCACCTACTCAGAGCTTCATCTCTGGAGTTGTATTCACTGTGTAACTTTTCTGCAAATCATGTTCCAACCTCAGTTACTCCCAAAGTCCGTTAATTTGCTTTTGAGATTTACTCGGGCAAAGATTACAGGAATTGACCAATTTCAACCTGTTCACTGGCTAAAACTATCTACGTGGACACACAGAATTGGGAGCAATTCTTCTATGGAAAAAGACTGAGTGACTCCCTGAGAGCAGTCAGTTTGGCTCACTGAACAGCACGGGAATATCACAGTCCCACAGAGTGGGACTCACAGAGGCAGTTACATACTTATCAGCAGCTTTGCTCCCTGCTCTTTTTATCTCCAAACCACAACTCCTCTACGATTCCATCTCTTATCGAACATTTCATTTAGATTTGTGCTTTCTGAAAGGAGAAGTGTATTTGTATGTAATTATGTCAGAGTAGCTATGCTTCTGAGACCCGAATGCACTCTCTGCAGTATTTCCTGGGATTAGTACGTCTCAAGTCACAACTGCTTCAAATGCTAGATTTACTAATTAACTGCAGGAGCTCAGTTAGAAAAATCAAAAAGTAGAGGCACAACCATATTACCTGTTCAGCCTCTGTCAGTATGGGCCTTATCGTGCGTTCAGCGACAGCCGTACGTCTTTGGTACGCGCTGCTGGCAGCTCTGTTCAGCACAACTAGGGCTCTTCCCACCCAAAGAATTTTAGGCTAACCTCTCCACTCGTCTGCATTTTTTGAGACCTATTAAAGAGGGACGGCTTCACAAAATCAAGATTTTTCATTGCAAATTATACGGGAGACAAGCAGATACTCAATACCATCATACAGAAAAACTCCAGGTGCAAATAAAATCACCCAAAAAAGAGTCCCTAGCTTCAATTTTGATGTATTTTCCAGCCATGCCCAGCATTTCCTTTGGACAACTTGCAGAATGACATCGTGCAGCGCCGTGAGGCTAAGCCAGGGCACAGCTGAACCCGTTTCAGCTGAAATCAGCCTTTCAGGGCAGTTGCCTTAAACAGTGAATTTCCATTCAATCTACATGTGCTATACTGAAGTTTGTTACAATCTAGTTTCATGTTACTAAGACAGGAGACAAAACCAGGGGAAAAAGCCACCCTAAAGAGAGCAAAAGCAGAACAGCTGGCCACACGTACAGCTGCTGTTGCTTAGCCGAGTGCCTTGCAGCCGGCACTTGGGACGCGCTACGGCCGGAGCGTGAAGAAGGTCCCATGCTTGGTCACTCGCCGGGCTGCGGACGGAGAACTTGGTGTCAGGAAAGGATTTTCCCACTTTAGCGGCGGTACCGCGATTGACAGGGGCTGCCCATCCAAGAGCACCTGCTGGCAGCTGGCTGGTTCCAGCGCTCCCGCTCCTGACGTGTCACACAGCTCCACTGGTCACTTACCCCACAGGGAGCACTGAGCTACCTCCTCTTTTCGTGCGGCAAATGGTCATTCTGAGACAGGTATTTTCAACACTATTTTATCTTTGAAAGGCAAGAAACACGCTGATGATACATTTTTCTCTTGATTGAGAAAGAATTACTGCTGTTGGGTGACCCTGTCAGCGTTACCAAGACACACGCCCACAAAAACTCGCCCAATGACACCCATGCTTTGTCACCTAGAAATAGAACTCTACCTCAAAATCTTTATTCCACACCTGCATTTCTCTAAGAGTAATGATATTCTTGCTAATAAATACCCTGGGCCTTTCACCTACAGAAAGACTATGCTATTTTGAGATCTTGCTTGTTCTTTAATATGCAAGAGCCAGGCATTGAGTTTTCCAGCGCAAAATGTTACGCTATGAAGAGCAAGAGCCTGTAAATTTTACAGACAGCAAACTTCCATTATTGACAACTATTGGGTTATTTTTACAAGCTGTGCTTTTTCACTTGCCGCAGATGCTGTCAGATGGCAAAACTTCACTGCCCAAATATCAGCAGAAATGAATTCTGTGACTAAAACCCAAAACAAACCAACAAGCCCCAGTCGAACACAACGATCATTCTGCAACAAACAGGAAAACTGAAATCTCTCTGCGATTTGTGTGAACACTGCCTGCCTTCACCCTACCTTCGGCTACAGACGGCTTTCTACAAACTGCCACCAGGACCCGACGGCGGCACGCGAGAACAGTCAGGGACTGTGCATCGATTACACGATCTCCTAGAGTCGTGTGGGGCATCCTTTCTTACCAACAGGAAGCCCAGGTTGGTGCATTCCCCACCGAAAAATAAACGTGCCTGTGGTGTACACTAAAATGGCAAGAACAGAGATGGGAGAAAAGCGAGAGCAATACACCAGCTGGAATAAAACCAGCCTTGTGTGACATAGATACTGACCATCAGCAGACTGCTAAAACAAAAGAGTAGCTGCCCAAATAAAAGATTAACAAAATCTGCTCATGAAAACCACAGACGAATCATTTATTCACAAACAAGCAGTAATTTATCCCACTCCTGCCTGTGATTTCTGACCATTTCGTTAATGAGATAACCTTAGGAATTCTCTTTTATTTAACTTATGGCTTTAATATTCAAAACACAGACTTTCTGTATCTATAGTCAAATTCCCTATTTGCTAATTTTTCTTTTGGGAAAAGAGTGTGGCTGGAATGATTAATATGCACTTTTATAGCTTGTCAGTGTTCCCTGAAGGCGTCTGTCGTAGCCACCTGCACCCCCTCTTCCCAGCAGTTCCCACTGCAACCCTGACTTACGTAAGCAGCTGCAGATGCAACAGGGAAGCAGTATTTTCATGTACTCTACAGATGTCATTTACATTTTACAAACCATTCTCATTTTCAGAAAATCCATTTTGTAATGTAAAATAAAAATAAAATTTCTCTTTACACTACAAAGTTTACTTTAAAAAGGACTGGTAAGAATTGATCTGGTTTCTAACACAATGAAGCTATAACGCTGCAAGGGAGCAGTGACAAGATTTGATGTACTAACAAGTTCATCCAGCACCGCTTCTGTTTTCCTAAGGAGAGCGCTGCCAAGCGAACATCTCGACGTGATACAGCCACATCAGCTGCGCTGCAGCACTGGAAATCACGGGATGGATTTGTGGTACGGCACTGCTGCCATCGACACCAGCTTCATCAGTGCTTTATCTAAAGAAAGGGGGTTCTTGTCCATTCTTCTCTCTGGCAATGTCTGTATTTGTGCAAATCAAGTGCAAAGTTGAACTAATAGTGCTTTAAGCACATTCAAAACGGGTTAAAATGATGACAAAGCCTGAGACATAGAAAAATCAAGTTCCAAAGCCGATATCATTATCTTTCACTAGTTCTTCTGTCATGACAATCAGGAAGAAAAATCAAGAGGACTTTTGCATCAAGATATATTGCAGTAATCAGGAGGAATTTTACCAGGCAATGCAACATGTTAATTAAAATAATTCTAATGATACACTAGCCAGCTAAATGGCAACAGAAACCCAAGCGCATTTATACTGCGATCCCACACTGATTGATGGAATTAGCTTTAGTATCCTTATATCTAACTAATGCCATTCACAATCAATGTCTACTTTATTGGGTAGCATGGAAATGAAGAATAGAGTTCAAAGATTTCAAAAAACCTGTATGGTCTCAAAAAATATATCTAGAAATAGTTGACTTAAAAGCAGACATGGGTTATCACTCTCATTAACTCATTAATATTAATATTCATTCAGTATAACTGGCATTACAACTGCAAAATTTACACAAGTATTTTTTGGAGCAATTATTTCTTCACTGGCCCAGGTGACAGTTGCAATGAAGAGGAGCAGAGTGTATCTATGGAGATCTATAGAAATGGATGCTATGTTTCCTGTTGCTTTCTGACCAGGCAAACACAGCACACTTTAAACTTGTCTGAGGTCAAGGGGAAATGCACTTTGCATTTTCTTAAGTGAGGTTTAAGCCTACCCATTGAGTAACAGACAAGATCGACTCTTAGACCTCGTTCTGAGGCGCTGGGTCTAGCAGAAGTCTTCCGGCACACTCAGTGAGGTCTCTCCTCATTTACCAACCGTCCAGCATTCCAGTGCTGGACCAGACACATCTGTGTCACCAGATCAACGTCACTGGATCAACAGCAAAACACGTACATCTTCCACTGGTTCACTGCGTTCACAGTAGTGAACAGCAGAGCTCTCAATTACAGACTCGAGGAAATTCAGGCTGGAATGCAGCCCCCGACTTCAGCTTCTCTTTCTCCTCCTCAGTTCAAGGAAGGGTCAATTAAATCTGCTAATCTGGGTAAATACTTGATAGTCTGTGACTCAGGTACCACAGTATTTAGGTTGCATAATATTACCCACCAGCACTGTGCTAAAAATTACATTTGAAGAGCTGGATTCAAGCAGAGTAGAGATTTACATCATCTGAGTATCCCACCTCTGTGTTACTTCCATCTTAAATTCACTGGTTGGGCACTATTCAGGGTTTAATTCATAGCATTTTAGCCACAAAGCTGACAAATGGATAAAAATTGAAAATCCACTAAATAAGGAGCTTCGGTTCCTCCTCTGTTGAGGCGTCAGTACAGAATGTGTCCCCTCACTGCTGACATTATAATGTTCCAGAAAACTAGTCTGCACCCTCCCAACACCAAAGGTGTGGGCTTGCTCTGAATTACAGCGCTGCGAAAAAGCAGGAGTGAGCATTAAAAAGTGCATAAATGACATAATGCTCATCTAGTCTGTAGGGTAAGACGTCTCGTCTTTTCCTCGCTCACTGCTCTGGATCTGGCTTAGACTGGGAGTGACGGAAAGTTGTTGGTGTCTGGTGGCTAATACACAGTCGCTGTCACGTTCCCACCAGGAAAGTGTCTGTGTGCCAAAAACATGAATTCAAAATGCTACCTTGTTCTTTTACGTGTCATTTTTCTGCCCTAAGCAGTGCAACAGCTGTCAGCCTTATCAGGCCGCAGGGCCAAGGCGGTTAGGGAAATGTACCCCCCATCTGGAGCGCAGAACACTTGAACCTTAGTAGGGCTGCTAGAAGGGACGCCCCTGGAAAGGCTCTGCATCTCACACCCCTTAAAATCTGCTTTCCTGCCTTCTTCCTTCTCCAGAGTGAGTTTAAACACTCCTGCATTAGGTCTCTGTATTACCGATCAATTGTCCAGGCACTTTAACCTGCATTTCGTGCCCATAAGGCACTTCTTCCCCTAAGCCTGCAAGCCATTACAGTTTAAAGCACCAAAATGAAGCCCCTGGAAACATGCTTGTGTATTCATCCACGGGCTGAATCTCCACCTGCCTGCCTTCAGCCAAAGTTATGCTTTTCTCACCAGTTGCACGATTCTGCTTTGCACCCTGTCAGGAGCAAACCTGCCGTCTATTCCCGAGCATCTCCCGAGATCCTGCCTGCTCACCCCACCCTTCCCCTGGGGAGGACTCGGCATCATCACCCTTTCCATCTCTAAGCTCTGAGAACTTTGTAACTTCTGGTAAGTGGTTGCCAAAAGCATCACCTCAACAGTCCCTTGGAGTTCCCATTGTTCCCTTGGAGTTGTTTACTGACATCTCTCATCCCTGACCATTGTGTAGTTTCCTGTTTGCTCTTCCTGACAGCTCCTTTGGATTCTCCCCCTTCACCCAGCGGGAATAATGCAAACCAGAGAAACTAGAATGCAATTACACTAAAAAAAGAGGGAATAATCTTTCCTTTACTCTCCATACAGGTTGCTCAGGATGAAATTCAGGCATGTAAATGATGTGTCTCCAGGAGCAAGGCGTGCAGGTGAGATGCAGAAGGGAAGTTGTGCACTTGACCCTTCCACCTCACGGTGCTTCGGAGGTAACTCCCGGCAAGCTGCTCGCCAGCAGGACACCCAGGGAGGTGCAAAGCCACCAGCCTGATTAGCCCTTTTTCCCAGACCGAAAGACCTACAACCCCCAGACACAGACCAGGATTAACTAAAAGGATTACATGAAATTTTGCAGAAGTCATCATACTTACACTGTCATTGCTTCCTTTGTTGTCCTCGTATTTTGTCTCTATATGAATGGAGAATTTAGGCAAAAATGAACACTGCAACGAAAGAAAAATACGTTTGACATAAAAAATAGGCCTTGCTTCATGGGCTGACACATTCAGTACATCCTGTTCGGTATCAGCTTCCCTATTTTTTTCAGATTACTTCAAGAAAAAGAGCAAACGTACACAGAACACAAGAGCACAGGGTTTATGCTTCCGAAGGGAAGTCGGCATTCTGTCTAAAAGCTGACCACTACGGCGAAGGTACACACAAATCAGCGGAAGTCCTCCGGAATAGCTAGGGACAATGGTTTTGGTGCTCACTATGTGCAAGAGTGCAAATGCCCTCAATATCCTGTTAAAAATTCAGTTCACTAAGATCTTGAGAGCAACTGCATGTTCGGCATCCTAGCTGGGTCTGTCCCACACATCACATGATCCAAGGACACGTCACTGGCTGCAGATGCTAACCGAGGAGACAACGATGCTTTGATGTGTGAGGGCTTGTTCTAGTTTTCACTGAGAAACCCATTTTGGTATTAGTTCCTATTAATGAAATAAGATGGAATACGAGCTGCTGTGGGAAGTCCTGTATACTGAACCCAAATCAATCTGCAGATAATAACACAAGAAAATTAAGAATGCACCAATGTTTTTGCATTAAAGAGAATATTGCTATATTTCACATGGGCATGATTTTATTTTTCTGTGGATTGCTCGGTTCAGCTGGCTTATCAAGGCTGGAATTTATAACACTCAACAACCTAATTCCAGTGGGAAAAATATTTCAGGTATCTCTTCTTTAGCATTTCACAGTTCTTCCTTCCAGGCAGGCAGAGAGAGTAGGTGCTCGCAAAGCGCAGGACACGCGTTGCGCGTCTTTGGGACGAGGCATCGAGCCTGGTCTCGCACCACCTGCCAGTGCAACAGCAGGGCCGGTCCCTGTGTGACGCGTCACTAACCCCGATGGCCCAGTGCCTCTGCCAAGCCCGGGTCACGTCCCGTCCGTGCAGACGGTGCAGCGAGGGCGTTCTGACGCCTCAGTGTTCACACTGCTGCTGGCCCAGGTTTGGACTTGATAAAATTGGAGAGTTCTTCCAAGGGAGAGGCGGATGATGAAGGAACGGGGGGTTTAGAAGGGCAGCTGTAGTGCAACGAAATAGAAATGAGAAGCCAGTTCCTTTGACACTGTGGAAAGTATATTCCTGATTCCATGGATATCCCCCAACAAGTCATCGTACAATCTCTGATGACAGGGTATCTAGTGTGCAATGAGCCCCTCGAGGATCGATCCTTGTTGAAACTGGGCTCCTCAGCTGAAGGAGGACCAGGAGCTGCTGGAGAGGGGCCAGCGCAGGGCCATGACGATGATTTGGGGCCTGGAGCACCTTCCACCTGAGGAAAGGCTGGGAGAGCTGGGGCTGTTTCGATTGAAGAAGAGGAGGCTGAGGGGGTAAACTTATCAATGCTCATCCATATCTAAAGGGGGGGTGTCAGGAGAGTGGGCCCAGGCCCTTCTCAGTGGTGTCCAGTGACAGGACTGGGGGCACTGGCCATCAACTGGAAAACAGAAGGTTCAACCTGAACACGAGGAAACCTTCTTCCCTGTGAGGGTGACAGAGCCCTGACCAGGCTGCCCAGAGAGGGGGGGAGTCTCCTTCCCTGGAGACTTTCCAAAGCCCCTGGACTTGTTCCTGTGGGATCTACTCTAGGGGATCCTGCTCTGGCAGGGGTTGGACTAGATGGTCTCTAGAGGTCCCCTCCAACCCCCACCACTCTGTGAATCTGTGTAAAAGAGTGGGATTTTTGCCAGAATAAGGCTCTGGTGCCACGGACTATACAGACAAGAGATTTATTCGGCGGAGGAAGGTGGGCTTCTGGTTAAACTCTTCCGTTAACATACTCCCATGAACATGTTGGTGCTGCAGATGCCCAGGCCGCACAGGCTTCTCTTCAGATCTTACAGGCATTTTGCCTTTCATTAAAGATTTCTGTGGAGTAGCAATTTCGTGAGTCTCAGTCCAATCTGAACCGTGACCAGCTCTCAGCTACGCGACTTGTTCATCGAGTGTGTATGTGGCAGGCAAAAAAACCCCAACAGATCAGCAGTATGTGGGGTGCAGGATGGGGTAAGTTCAACGACAGATCTGCTAGCTCCTGTCACACTTATTTTGTGGGCATTTAAACAGTTCCTCCGTCTACACCTCAGGAAGTGCCAGCGGAAAACACACAATATTTATAGACAGCCTGTCAGAACTGGAGATCTTGTAACACAAATTAACACCAAAAACATCCAGATATTCTCCCAACTGAGGTTTCACCATGTATCTCAGTATGTTGCTCCTATTCTGGCAGGCATCCAAAGGGATCTGCAAACAAAACCCTGAGCAAACAGTAGGCACTACAGGGAAAGAAGGTTGTTTTTTTTAAAAAAAAGCCAATGTTTGTCATAAAGTTCTAATTTGTATCTCTAAAATTAACCAACTGGTGGAATGAACATCCTTGAACTATACATGAACTAGAAGATGAATAAAAGGGGTTGACTACAAGAATTATGTAATCAAATGTTTCAGTGGTAAGGAAAGTCATAAATGTGAGGTTAATAAAAAGTAGGGAATGACCCAGGAGACAGAGGGATGTCAGCATGTTTGATATTGCTCGGAAGACTTGTATTCAAACAGCATCAACCAACACTCCGGTGTTTTCGGTGTTGGCAGAACATGGAGGGCTGAAAAGTAAATTACTGCTGGAGGTGGATTAGGAAAAGCAGATTTAAAGAAAATGTATAACTTAAGGATAGATACTTACTGCACAGTTTTTAGAGCATTTGGAAAATAATTCCATTGGTGCTAGGGTGGCAAAACATGGGTTATCGATCTCAAAAATATAGTGTATGGCAGCCTTGTATTTTACAAAGAGGTGTAACTACAGGGCTCCGTGCAGGTGTACAGAACTCTTGCTGACAACAGCCTAGACCTTGGCACGCAGGCATCCTGTGGGAAAGCATCCTTCAGGAAATCAGAGGAGACTGCCACTGAGTAATTTGTTTTATCAGCAGTCACTAGTACTGCTTCCTGAATGCAGTAACTGGCACTGCACTACTGGGGACTCAGGGCTTAGATCTGAGTAACAGCTGCCAGAAACATTTTCACTGAAAACGGGAGAGATGTTTGCCATACAATCTGCGCTATACTCATTGTTTAGAAGAGCTTAGGAAAACAGAGTTTCCCAGCATCGTGTCTGCATATTTCAATGTTACTGCTCTGGGCCATGATTTACGTGTATGTTAGTCTGTGTTAAGTCTCTGCTCTCTTGACTTGAGGACCAAAATTTAATTTTCTTTGCTCCACAATTAAACAAAATTGACACACCCTAAGTAAAATCTAGTAATTGATAACAACAGAAACCAGAATGACTTCGATCATCTATCACTAGCGGAAGGGTCATCAGTGCTGGAGCAGACTGAGTATTCAGGTCAGAGCTTTGTGAGTTTTCAAACTTGAAGTGATACAGCCTGAGCCTGGTGGTCTGTCAAAACCTCACTGGCCATGGAAACGGCTCTGACTGTGCTGACCTTAACGGCTCTGGGCAGAGCAGCACTTCCAGCTCTTTTAAGAAGCACCAGAATCCACCACAACACTTGGTGCAGCTTTCACAGTCCCACTGGCAGCAAACTCCATCGGCAGGAGGAAGTCCAGTACAGCGCCCTTCACAGTTGGAGCTAACACCCTTACCAAAACAGTTCATCATCACTCAGGCATCTTTGCTGATGATCTAACTAGAAATTCAGCAGTTGTTGGCCTGAGAACAATTTCCAATACTCACAGGTCACAGTTGCAGGTACAGTGTAGAATAAAAACCACAAAATATGAAAAACCTTTGTGCTGTTGATCTCAAGCATGGCCGCAGTTTCAGAGGAAATTTTGAGTGAAGCCAAATTCCAGATTTCTGTTTTACCTTGCTATCAAAACCCAGCTACTATTTTCAACCACTGTCTAGAGTTTACAGCAATGAGTCAGAGCACGATGCTCTGAAGTGCAGCCATTTCATAAGTCGAACTTCAGGCTGCATGAGGCTGCCTGTAGCAGCTCAGCAAGCCACCGCCTGAATCTGGTGGTTGTTTCCTGTGACCCAGAATCTAAAATCTAGTTAAAAAAAAAAAGAAATCTAGTCTGATATTTCAAAAAAGAAACATTAAGAAAAGACTAAGGATCTTCAAAGTATCACAGAAGAATTAGAAATGCCATTTACCCCAAGCCACTTCGTTAGAGAGCAGAAAGTCATTTTCTGCACAAGGCTATCAAAAGTCAACCTCCCTGTGCATTTAGTGAAATGTCGAGGTCTATCCCAATCTAATTTGAGATCAGAAATGGTAAAACACAAATCTACCCCAAACGCAAACTACGGTTCACCAAAAAGTACTCCATTGCATATGTATCTCACGGAAACCCAACCGACTGGCAACCACTGTTGTAGCAGCTGTGGGGGGTCTCGCTGGCATTCCGGAACACTTAGCAGGGTCCACATTTTGGAAGGTTTCACAGACTGTGTCTCATGATTCATCAGCTGCACTCTGACTAATTGGCAGAGGGCTCTGGCAGAACCAGAAAACTGTTTATGCATCATTCAACAGAGTTTATTATTCATCATGAAATAGTTGTTGGGTTTTTTCCCCTCCTTAGGTAGCGGCGCATTTACTCAGCCAGGGATTAAAAGTGTTATGCAAGACTCAGAACCGAACTTGGGAGGGAATGGTAGGTAGGAAAGCTTTTAGCTGATTTTTTTTCAGAGCTCCACTCCCTTTTTGCTCTGCCTCCCCCAGGCGCGTGTTCTTCCAGCACAAACCTGGCAGCCGATCGATAGGCTGAGCACACACAGGAATGCACAGGGCACCGTTTCCAGTTCTCCATTTCACTATCTCTACAGCTTGCAAGGTTCCTCTTAAAAAAAAAATAGTGGCAAGTCAAACCTTTAACTTCAAATTAGACCTCAATTCTGCATAATAAGACAAAATCTGCTCAGATCTAGTGTCCTCAGTGATAAGGTTTCTCTGT